GATTCTCCTGGGGGGGGGGGGGAGAGGGAAAAACAGGATTAAAACCCCTTCCTTGGTGTGTGACCCTCTACACTTTTCCCCACGTTCACACAAAAATAAATTCTTTTTTTCCCCTCCAAAAGTAAATTCTTAATTATGCATAGGGGACTTTTGGTAATGATTATTTGGAGGGAAAAGAATATGATCACACGACATACATTATTCACAACGGGCTTGGCAATGTGCTGTTGGGAGTCAGCCCGAGAAGCCGAAAGATACGGAACCAACCTGTTTTTTTCAGTATTCCCCATAATATTCCGCAATATAGGTATGCCACAGTTTGTTCATGGCTTCTCATTTTTGTGCATGTTCAGGCACTTTTTTGTTTGGTTGGTTGGGGTTATTTTTTAATTGAGGTATAATGGATATATAACATTATATTAGTTTCAGGTGTATAACATGACTCGATATTTGTATATATTTCAGAATGACCGCCACAATAAATCCAGTTAACGTCTATCACCACACATAGTTACAAATATTTTTTCTTGCAACAGGGACCTTTAAAATAGACCCATTTAGGGGCGCCTGGGTATCAGTCGTTTGGCGTCGACTTATTTCAGTGCGTGATCTCACAGTTCGAGAATTCAATCTCCACGTCGGGCTCTGTGCTGACAGCTCGGAGCCTGGAGCCTGCCAGTTGTGTCCCCGCCCCTCCCCTGCTCACACTCTGTCTCTGTCTCTCTTTCTTTCTCAAAAATAAATTAAAAAAAAAACATTTAAATAAATCAATAAACAAAACAGACTTGCTTAGCAACTTTCAAATATACAATATAGTATTATCAACTCACCATGCTGTCTCCATGTTGCACTTCATATCCCTGGGATTTACTTATTTTATAAGGAAGTTTGTACCTTTTGACCCCCTTCACTCATTTCAGTTCACTTTTTTTCCCCCCTCCACTGTGAATAATGACACCATAACCAATTTTGTACCCATATCCTTACATATTGAGGGTCACTGCTAACCTAGGCAGCCAATGTTTGCATTAATTTGAGCAGATTTTGTGCTAATTTGCGTGTATACCTAAGCTAACAAACTCATTACTGTAAGAAAGGTCTTTGATTTTTTAATCTACATCCCTAAGCATATTCTAGACAGCCAAAATGGAAGGGGGTAGATATGCTCTTTGGGAAAATGGCATAAATCCTTGCATCTAGGCATATCTTAGAATTCCTGGCTGCGAGCAGGTGAAAGCAGGTGTGAAAGCAGGTGTGAATTTCCTACCCGGTGTTCTCCAGCTGTGCACGAGCAATACTCCAGGGTACCACAAACAGCAGCGGGAAGGCTGGGGAGACAACAGGGAAATGCAGTTAGGGGCCGGGTGACTCAGTCTGCCTGCCTCCCACCCCGGCCTGATGGGCCAAACACATCCGGTTACAAGCCCAACTACTAGAGAATTGCAGGCTGAGATCTGGAGAGACCTGGGGTGGCACAGAGCCCATCTGTTGTTTTACTGTCCCACAAACCAGGAAGCAGAGAGGAGAAAACATTTGCCACATGTTGCAAAGCAGCTCAGAGTAAATCCAAGGCGTTAACCAAAGTCTCCCAAGTTGTCGGTCAAGGGCATTTCCTCTGAATCCTGCAGCGTGACGTTCTCTAAGAGTTTGTGACAACGGGGTTTCAGGGTCTAGACCCCATCTTTTTTTTTTTTGGAATTTTTTAAAATCTTTATTTATTTTTGAGAGAGAGAGGGAAACAGAGTGCGAGAGGGGGAGGAACAGAAAGAGAGGGAGACACAGAATCTTAACTGACTGAGCCACTCAGGAGTCCCTTTCTAGAAAAAATTTTTAATGTTTATTTATTTGTGTGTATGAGAGAGAGAGAGAGAGAGAGAGAGAGAGAGAGAGAGAGAGAATGGGGGAGGGGCAGAGACAGAGGGAGAAACAGAATCTGAAGCGGGTTCCAGGCTCCAGGCTGACAGCAGTGGGCCCAACATGGGGCTCGAACTCATGAACTGTGAGATCATGACCTGACCTGAAGCTGGATGCCCAACCAACTGAGCCACCCAGATGCCCCCCTAAATCTTGTCTTGAAGACTCAGTTGGTGTTATGGCTTGAATGTTTGGGTCCCCTCCCATCCCATGTTGAAGCTCCAACCCTCAGTGTGATGGTAATTGGAAGTGGGACCTTTGGAGGTAGTTAGGTTTGAGGGAGGGGGAAGCATCATGATGGGATTAATGTCCTTGTAGGAAGAGACCAGAGAGCTTGCTTTCTATCGGTCTCTGTCTCTGTCTCTGTCTCTCTCTCTCTCCACCATGTGAGGCTACAGTCAGAATCCAGCTGTCTACAAGCCAGGAAGAGGCCCTTGCCAGAACTGGGCCACCCTGGCATCCTGATCTCAAACTTCCCAGACTCCACAACTATGAGAAATAAATGTCTGTTGGTTAAGCCATAGAGTCTATGCATTTTATTATGGTGGCCCAAGCAGGTGACTACAGCTGAGGACGGGGTGGGAGGAATGGTATCTGATTCTCCCAAAACCTTGTCGGTTTTTTAACATAAGCATTGGGTCTACAGCACCTGTGCGTCTCTGTGCGTGTGTGCACCCCGCCCCCTGCTCTCTTCAGTCTCTCGTCCCTGAGGAGTTATCCATCCCAGATGGTCCCTCCAGTTGGGAAACCAAAGGATCTGTTGGGTTCATATGTTCTGATGGCCCCTAGGAGAAGAGGTTGGGGGCTCGGGTCACTCACCCCAACCCACCAGCATGTATCTGGGCCACAGCCGCCTCTCAGAGAGCACTGTGGGCTCCAGCAACGTGTGGAGGTAAAGGCCTTCGACCAGCAGCCACGAGTAATTGGCTCCCACAAAGTAGTGCAGCAGGAACTGGGCAGAGCGGCAGGAGACAGATATCTGAGGAGGACAGAGCACCCGAGGGTGAGGCCAGGCATTCCCGCGTGGACCCAAGATGGTGAAGAAGGGCTCCCCCACCCACAGCCCTCCCTCTTCACCCCCTCACTCCCGAACCTGCTGACAATCTCAAAGAGGCTGGTGACAATACCAAAATGGGAAGGGGGCCTTCCTGTAGGTTTCAAAGCCCAGTCTCTTCTTTTAACGTTCTAGGCATTTGTAGACAAACAAAAACAGAGAGAATTCCCTGGCGCCATTTCCCTAAAGGAAACCCTGAAAGGTATGTTCTCTGGTCTTGGTTCAATTAAGCTAGAAACCAAAAATCTAAAAAACAAAACAAAACAAACAAACAAAAAACAACTTCAGATGATTGGAAAGGAGGAAAGAATTTCTAAATAACCCAGGAATCAAAAAAGAAATAATATAAATTAGAACTTATTTCTGACCCAGATGAATAGAAAATACCGCATATCAAAATGTGTGGTATGCAGCTAATACCACACCTGGAGTGAAGCCTATAATCTTAAAAGCCTTAGTTAAAAAAGAAAAAGGCTGAAAGTCCACTATCCTAACTATCATGTCAGAGAAAGAGCAGCAAAATCTAACCTAAGGAAAGGACGTGGAAGGAAAGCATAAAGGTAAAAGCAGAAACTAATGAAATAGAGAACATAAAGCAAAGAGAATCAGCAATGCCAAAATTTCATTCTATGGAAAATCCAGTAAAACTGAAAAACATCTGGTAAGGATGATCAAGAGGGAAGAGAGTGAAAGTATAAATAGTCAGTATCAGGGACACAGAAAGCAATACTGCTCTAACTATGATGGTAAGATCTTAAAAGATCTTCAGAAACTACGAACAACATGATGGCAAGAAATTTGAAAAGTTAGATGAAGCGTACAAATCCCTAGAAAAACACCAGGTACTAAAGCTGACACAAGAAGAAATAGAAAATCTGAACATAAGAGCTGAAAACAGCCCCCAGTTAAAAGCCTTCCAACAAAGCAAACTTTGGACCCAAGTGGCTTCACTGGAATGATCTATCAAACATTTAAAGAAGAAAAATACTCATCTTAAATAAGTTCTTCCAGAGAACAGAGAAAGAGGTAACAAGTCCGCTTTGTTTGACGTAAGCGTAAATTTTAGCTTCTTTATCACAAGAAAATTACTCACTGAGGCAGATGAGAGAATGCTAAACAAAACACAGCCTCAGCGAACAAATCCAGCAATATAGGAAAAAGAGTAATATATCAGAACCTAGTTGGGTTTATTCCAGGGGTGCAAGGTTAATTTAACAAGTTACTACAACCAGTATTAATAGGATAAAAGATAAAGCATCCCAACAGAGGCAGATTTCAATTTGGAAAGCTTTGCCTCTTTAAAAATTAGTAATAATAGTTTTTTAAAAAGACTGATCTGGTTCAGCTCTTTGGTTCACAGATGAAGAAATTTCCCACCCACGGGCACACAGCAGCCCGTGGCTGATTTCCTTTACCTGCCTCACTCTCGGGAGGTTTGGGGTTTTTTTTGGGGGGGTTTGGTTTTGGGGTTTTGTTTTTAGTCCGATGATACTTCTCTGACCAGAGGCCTTTGACACCCCTTCATGTCTTTCTTGCCTTTCCCCGTCCTACCTTCCCACCCAACGGTTCCCAGCCCTGAAATGCCGGGTGGGAGGCTATGGTAGGGAGGCACATACCTCTGACACGAAGGACAGCCACTTGTTGTCGCTGTTGGGCCTCCTGGAGTAAGAGTTGTAGAAGATGGCATCCTTCACCAGCACGGCCAGGGCTCTCAGGATGAAAGAAGCAAACAGGTTCATGTGGATATAGTTGCGTGTGCAGTGGAGTTTTCTGCGCAGGGAAAAAACCAAGTGTCTCCCCTCAGGAAAGAACAGCTCAGACCAACAGGCATGTGCCGGAAACACCTGTGTACCTATCACTAGAGGACAGACATTCATCGTGTAGGCTCCAGAGCCACGCGGCCGGGTTATGTGATTTTCTCTGTGCCTCATTTCCCTCAACTGGAAAATGGGGATAACATGTACACGTGGAGGGCAAATTGGGAAATTGAGGCAGAAGGGTTAAGTCAGCTGTCCAAAGTCCTAGAGAAGTAAGTGGTGGAGGTGAGATTCAGACCCAGACACTCTGAGGCCAAAGCACAGCTCTCCAAGGCTCTACTGCCTGTAAGGACGAGAACACTTCCTTCAAGGATTGCCGTAGCAACAATCTGGTTTGGGGTGCAAAGTACTCACACAGTACCTACACCTAGTAAGTGCCCAGAAAATGTCAGCTCTCATTACCTCCCTCTCACCCACATGAAGCCTCCTGCAGGCTCTTTTTCTTGTACTGGCTGGCGTAAAACTGTGTGTCCTTAGTGTCTCTAGACAAAAGGACCCTTTTCCATCACTGTGCCTTCACAGCCTTGCCTGTGCCCCCATGCAGCACACACACCTGCCTGGCTTTAGAGCTATTATTACTTTTTAAATTTCTAAACAGTACTTGAGGCAGGTGTTTTATTATTTATGCATCCTTCTCCCTAATTAGACTGGGTGCCACTCAAGGGCAGGCACTGGATCTTGTTCTTTCCAGCACTAGGGGCAAAATGGATATCTGGTCAACCTAGGCTTCACTAAAGCAGTTGCTTAGCTGGGCAGTTACTTTCTCCTGGCTTGCTTCTGGGACTTTGGGAAGGCGAGTGTAGGAGGTCATGGATAGCAGGGGGTACAGGCTATGGAATGCTCCCACTGCTCAAGAATTGCTCTCTAGATGGGGTATATGGTCGTGACTGTGCTCTGGGAAGCCATAGAACATCCTGGGATTGAGGGGCCAGACCTGGTGCTACAGGAGCCTATGTGGGGACCTGTTCTGCAGCTAGCATCCAGGCCTCCACAGTGCCCATCTAGGTCTCCTGCATCTGTATCAAATGTTCATTCGGCCACATCATACTCAGTTATGTTCCTGAAGGGGTGAGGCCAAGACTCAGGCTTGGAGGGCTCCTTAGGACATCCATAAATAAATCACTTGGTTGATGTCTGAAAACATGGTTTAGTAAAATGCACTCAGGCTCTGGGATTCTGAAAGGCAGCGTAAGGGAATGAAAATGCTCAGGCTCTGAACTGCCTGGTTGCGAACCTGTCCCCAGCACTCAGCAGCTGTGTGACATTGGGCAAGTTCCTTGATCTCTCCATATTTCTGTCAACTCATTTATAAAATGGGGCTAATAATAATGCTAATCTTCTAGGATTAGAATTAATCTTAATTCTGATTAGGGAAGAAATTTAAAGGGCTCAATGCATGTAACGTGGTTAGAACAATGCTTGCCACCAAGGAAGCATTCAAATGATTAATAGCTAATTGGAGTCTGAGGGCCATGGATTAAAATCACAGCTCTACCGCTCACTAATTTGCTTTGGAGAAGTTTCTTAATCTCTTCTGTAAAAATCATGCCTCCAGTAGGGCAGGGCACACAGGAGGCTGTCCAATCCCAAAGTGGCTAAATCAGAGTTAGGACTCCCAGATTCCAGTTCTAGCAGTGCCCCGTGACCTGCAGTGACCCAGTGCTTCTCACTGGACCATCGTTATCCCTTTCCCCTCTGCCTGCACAACGGGGTTGATGGGCTGGAGACTCTCAGATCCCTTCCAGCTCTGGTGGACCATGATGTCATTCAGCCCAGTCTTCTGCCTTCTAGAGGGAGCCAGGAAGCAAATCCCAGGGTGCCAGCAGAAGTTCCACTCACCGAAGAAACAAGAGGATGGTGAGAGCCAAGAGGAGGGAGACGACGGAGAGAGAGTACCCCACGGTGTATAACAGCTGCAAGGTCGAGAGCAAGGCGTGGTTTTCCACCTGAGCACAGACAAGGGGTAGATCTGACCACCAAGCCCGGAAGCTATGACCTCCAACCCCCAGCTCCATTCCCAGGATGACCAAGGTTCTAGGCAGGCACTGTAGCCTTGTTGACAGCCAAGTGGGGTAGCTTAGACTGCTCTCTGGCACACTTAGAGGCCAAAGAGTCTTGATGAATTGAAGAGCCCACTGGGGGGTCTCACCCTCCTGGCTTGTCCCATAGCCCAGCATTGATGCACCAAGATTCTCAGTATCATGGAAGTATTGTGCCCAGAACACCAGAACACCAGAGGGTGGCTTAGAAATGAGGACAGGTTCTTTGTCCCTGGGCATGCTGTTCCTAGAGTATAGAAGTCCCTTTCTCTGGAAGATGGGGCCCTCCTAAAACAACTTTTCATTCATGACCCCTTAGATGGACACCCAATAAAATAGTGGAATATTTTCCCTGAGTCTCTGGATAGCCTGATTGTGAACAGGGCATAATTTACCGGAAAGTCTGTTGTTGTGATTTTCCAGTGGAATCCCACCTTCTCACTCAACCCATCATACTAATCGCCATAAAAATTATGTTTCTTAATACATTTTTGTACAAGAACCCACAGAGAATATGTATTACCTGCTAAATCATGCCTTAAACGTCTCCACATAACACTTTTATCAGCTTCATTGAAGCATGCCTGGTGGACCATAAACTGTACATATTTGAAGAATTAACCTTGATGAACTTAGGTATGAATATGTCGGTGATCTCATCACCACACTCAAGATAATGAACATTTCTATAACCTCCCAAAGGTTTCCTTGTGACCCTTTACAATACATTCCCGCCTACCATCTTATGCCCAAGTAAACCCTGGTCTGCTTTCTGGCATTCGAGATGAATTTCCATTTTTTAAAAATTTTATGTAAGAATCCTATGATATGTATTCTTTATTTATTATTTTTTTGATCAGCCTTATTTCCCTCGGAATAATTACTTTGAGATTCCCCCCCATGTCATAGCATGTATCAATAGTCTACTTTTTCATTGTTGAGTGGTATTCCATTGCGAATATACCACAATTTATTTATCCATTCACCTATTGACGGACATTTGAGCTGTTTTCAGAGTTTGGCTCTCACCAATAAAGTTGCTATGAAAATTTCTGTACGAGTCTTTATGTAGACGTAGGTTTTTATTTCTCTCAGATAAATATGCAGAAATAAAATGGTGGGAGTAGCATGATGTATGTTTTAACTTCTTCAGAAACTGTCGAACTGTTTTCTAAATAAGTTGTATCAACTCACATTTCCACCAGCAGTGGATTAAGAGTTCCAGTGGCTCTAGATTCTACTAACACTTCATATCATCTGTATTTAAAATTTTAGCCATTCTAGGGGCGCCTGGGTGGCGCAGTCGGTTAAGCGTCTGACTTCAGCCAGGTCACGATCTCG